AAGCCTTGGGGCATTCGAGAGCCAGCGGCACTAGTGGGAATGTGAGGCAAAATGCCTCATTCCACCTCCTCTTGTGGAAAGACACATACACAGGGCTCCTTCAGGGCTGGGAATCTCAGGATTCCAGCCACCCCTGGGGAGGAAGGTCCAGAGAACTCTTCACTCCATGCCCCCCAGGCCGCCGACGTCAGCCTTGAATCCTGGACTGAGGCATAAGGATCGGTTCCGAAGAAATGTGAATGACCTTAACAGGGGCTCTCCTCCCGTGGCCGGCGCTGTGTTTCTGGTGCCTGGCACAGTTGCCACCAAGCAAACACTGGTGGTGTGAACAAGCAGCTGAGTGATGGCCATTGAATGCCAGCTCATTGGCTGTGTGATGAAATGTGGAGAAAGCCCAGTGACCCCTGACTCAGAGAGAGAAGGGCTCAGTCCCTGAGGTCACATGACCCTTCAGACAGGGGAGAGGCCAACTCAAGATGGATGCTGGAGTGAAGGGGTAGGAGCCACTGAGGGTGCAAGAAGGGCATGGGAAGAGGCCCTATTTTGCATGGTGATCTTGCAGAAGCCACAGTCTCAGTTTGCAAACTGGCTGCTGCAAAGTGAGATTGAACTAGCCTGGCAACAAGCTGGCTAGGGCATGAGATGCCCCACTGACCACAGTGGGATTGATATTGGCAGTCCAGGGAATGGGCATTCGGAGCCTGGCACAATACACCTCTAGCCTGTGCCTGCTGCTTCATCTGCGAAGTGGATGAAGTACATCAGTGTCAATACATGTCCTGTCAGTCAGAACGTGCACTGTGCAAGGACGAAGCTTCGATGGTACTAACAATGCTCCTCAGAGCTCTTCCAGGGCAGAGCCAGTGCTGCTTCCCGAGAGGCTTATCAGGGCAAGTGTGGGAGATACTGGAACAAAGACCTCCCACAGCAAAGGGCAGCAGTCTCAGAGACCCTCAGCTCCCTAGCCCTGAGTTCTGAGGAAAGCCCGCTACCACCTATCTCTCCCTTCACACAACCCCTTGCCCTTGATGGTCCCAAGACCCAGCCAGTGCCTGCTGGTGACAGTCTTCCACTTTGCCTCCAAATCCTTCCTTGGCCGGTGGAGGGCAGCGCACCTCCTCTGTCTTGACCCAGAAATCCCCAACAAGAAAAACCTGTCTCACCAGGACCGTCTCCAAGTGTAGAGGACTTGTAGCAGGCACCTACCCCCTCCCCCGCCCAACATCTCCCCTAACACACACACACACACACACACACACACACACACACACACACACACACACTTCTGCTGGGCTCAGAGTTCAGAGGAATCTGGCTGGGGCTGGATTCAGTAGTTCTGGAAGGATACCCACATGCCACATGTTAGGCTGTATGGAGACGGAGGTGCTGAGCCTGGAGTATGGGGGGCATAAACGCCCATAGGTGATTTCCAGGTCCATCTGAGCCCCAGAGTGAGGTGGACAGCAAGAATACAAGCTCCCTGCCAGACCCCGCCCACCAGGGCTCCACTGCTTTGAGGTGAAGAAAGGACCAGGGTGAATGAAATTTTCCGACCCAAGACCTGAGCAGCTTCTGCACACAGCTTTAAGAAGGAAAAAACGGCAGGAGGCAGCACAGGCAGATCCCAAGAACTCAAGCTGCTTTGCTCCTGGACTGGGCATCAGGAGAGACCAGGCCGCCCGCCGTTCTTGGCTTTTGAAGGGGAAAAGGTCCCAGGCTGGATGGTCTCTCAGGACAATTTATGCTGCTCCATCTCAGAGACAGGCAGCTCTGGAGGCGGGCTTTGTAAGGGAAAGCAAGCCAAGCCAGAGCAGACAGGGGTCCAGCCCTTGATAGGTCACAGCTCACCTGATGGGCAACACAGTTTTCTCGTGAGGACCCAGCCGGAAACCGCTTGGAGATGCTCCTCATCACTCTAGGGGTGCCTTCTGGCCATCTGCACACTAACTAACAAGGTGGCCACCACCGAGGACACAGCCAGCAACGATAACAACTAGAAGGGCCTGACTCAGCCCACTGCTTTGTTAAATCCTGCACACGGTCTGCTCCCCGACCCCAGCCCCACCCTGCATCTGTGCCAGCCACTCTAGGCTTTCTGTGCCCAGGACCACACACAGTGGCTTCAAGCTGGGCTGAGGCCTGAGCTAATGCAGACTGAGCCAGATGGTGACATTCAGTAGATTCAAGGCCTTCCTTCCCCATGACACCCACATTGGGGTCAGCCTGAGGCTAGAACCCGGGCAGCCAATGTTCTCTTCTCACCCTTATCTTCCACTCCTGTCCTCATGGCAACCACTTTCAAATCTGTAGATGTGTCCTGGTGTTAAGGTCTAGCCCAAATCTGGGCTGCTAATCTGGCAGAGGGTGAAAAAACTCCCAGCATCTCCCAGAAAAATCTGCCCTGGCCCTCAACTTCAAATTGTCCTGACCCCTGAAATCATCCCAGAGTCCAGAGTAAGATCCCAGAAGGGACCAGGCCACCTTCCCAACACCCCACCCTCACATCGTCCCTCAGTGCCACAGGGCCTTGCATGCTTACATGTGGATGCCAGCCTGCATAAGCCAAGATCCGTCCCTTTTGCATCCTCCCTTGTGATACCCCTGGGCACAATCAGGTCACACAACCTATGTAAGGATGAAGATACAGGCAGAAAGATGTGTCTTGGCCCTGGAAGCCAGATTAGGCCACAGGATCCAAAGTTCTAGAGTTCTGGGAATTTAGAAGGGAGATGTCAGCTCTGAATGGCTTGGCAGCTTGGCCCCACAGACTCTCTGACCTTCAGAGAGGGTCATGGACCAAGGAAGGGCTGAGCTGGGCCTCTGAAGTGGGGGAAGGGCAGAGTCTGATAAAATGAACACAAAAGTAGCATTCAGACTAGGGGCAAGGCTATGCCGTGATGACAGACTGGCAGAGGCCGCATGGCTCCCCTTCCAGCGTGGGTTGTGGTAAAGGGGTATTTGATGATTCCTCCTGTGGCCAGTGTGCCCTTCATGGTGGCATGCTGCATGTAGAATCCCTGCTGTCACCACCTACCACAGAGCAGGGGCCTGGCAGAAGAGACGATCACCCCAGGGAAGTGGGGATGGTCCCCAGGCGTCCACAGAGGCCTGAAGTCATCTAATCTTAAGACAGAGAGTGAGCATTAGCATCTCAAGATCTCAGTGACATGAGCAGATCCCCAGAAGGCAGAAGATGTTGGTTTCTGGACAGGGAGGGTCATGAGACCTGTTCCTGTACCTCAGAGACCAGGCCAGTCAGGTGGACTTTACCTGGGGGACACTGGGAAGTAGAGGCACCCAGGCCCCCTCATGTCCCCAACAGTCAGTGACTATGAAGTTATGGAGAATAAGGAGGAAGTTACCCCCATCACAGAGGGCCCCCAGCCTCCTGTGCATTCCTCTGGTGGCAGGGTTTAGAGGTTGGTCAGTATTTGCAGTCTTTATCCCACTATCCTGAGGGGCTTAAGCAACTGTGATCCCATTTGATGGGAAGTAACACTGAGGCTTAAAGAGACCTAGTTACTGCCTAAAGTCTATGTTTGTGGCTGTGCATTAGTCCTCCAGTGGCCTCAGTCACCACTGAGACAGGTGTCCTTAATGAGGAAAGGCAATGGGAAGGGAAATGGGAGTCTTACAGAGTTCTGGGGCTCCCCCAAGCCTACCAGGTCCCACTCAAGGGCCCTGGAAAAAAAGAGGCAGAGCTTGTCCCCGGCTGCCCACTCTTGGCTCATGAGCCTCAGTTAACCATCGGAGTGAGCCAGCCAAAGGCAAGGCCCATCACTGCCACGCCACTAGAGAGAAAGCCATTATCCACACCAAGGCTCATCTCCGACACCCTGACAGAGAGAGAAGCCATCGTCCAGATGAGGTCCCTCACTGATAAGCCATTAGAGAGAAAAACCATCATCCACTCAAGGTGTGTGGAGAACTCAGCAGACAATCTTTCGGGTAGCTAGGAGGCAGGACCTGGGAGCGCTACCCCAGAAGCCACAGAATTAGGAGCAGCCTGGCCACCAGCAGGTGTCACTGCAGCCAGGAGGGACGAGGCAGAGCCTACAGGGCTGAGTCTCAACCCGATGCTGGAAAGGGCCATTCTGGAGGAGTCCCACACAGACCTGCAGAGGGCAGGGCCACACCAACCCCAGAGAAGGCCTCAGGCACCACGTCATCAGCACTAGTCTATCATTTTTTTTACTCAAGTTTAACTGCTGTGTGTTGGGTACCTTATGTCCCCACCGTGACCAGCCTGCACTATACCCAGGCAGGGCAGGGCTGAGACGTCCACCAGAAAGATAAGGAAACCAAAGCCTTGGCCAGAAAATGAGTCCTCTGGATGGTGGAGAGGCCGTCTCCAAGGATAACCAAGCTGCGCCCACCCCCTGCCCCGCCCCGCCCCGCTCCTCAGGCCGGCAGTGTGTTCACTTGGTTCTAGTATCTTCCTGTCCACTGTGGGAAAAAAAAAGGTTGTGAGTGGCACGTAGCAGGCCTGTTGCCCAGATCTTCCATGAGGCCCGCCTGACCCTTCCTAACCATGGGTTCTGAGCAGGGTCCTAACCCCTGGGCCACCCTGCACAGAGTGGCTCATGGCTCTGGGGCCCAGCTGACCCAGTCTGTCCTACCGGCCCCAACAGCCATCCCTGTCCCTCCTCCCCACTGCCAAGGCAACATGGCTCCTAGCCAGGGGCGCTTCATCCCCAGACAAAGCCCTGAAGCAAACCACCCGGCTGGCCGCCCAAGCTCAGGTTGCTGCCTGCAGTGGGCCGGGCTGGGCATTGGATCATTCATGAAAATCAGGCCTCCGCCATGGTCCTGGCCTTCAGTGGGACTCCAGCTCACAATCGCCTCATTGTGTGGGTGGCCATGAGGATTGCTCTGGGGAAGAGGAGAGGAGGGGGAGGAGGGGGAAGAAGGAGGAGGGGTGGGAGGAGCTGGAGCTAGAGGCGAAGAAGGGGGGAGAAGAGGAAGAAGGGAGGGGAAAGCAGGACAGGAAGTGGAAGAGGCAGAGGAGGATTCTTGGGCCAAGGGGGTCGAAGAGCGGGAGGATGGATCCACAGCAGGTACTGATGGGCTCCTGGGACTAGGGAGGGTGCTCCCTGACAAAGGTGCTCCCTGTTCGGTGCTGAGCCCTACTGCAATGATCTGGAAATCTCCATAGCTCCATCTCTCCAAAGGCTGCCCATGGGAATCACCCTCTCCACAAGAGGATAGAGTTCACAGGCACAGAGCATATGGCCGGGAGCCAGCCTTTGTCTCCCCATCCGAGCAATGGGCATTATCTGTCCTTCTTAGAGAGCTCAGCTAGGCAAGAGCACAGTAGCTTCCGACTCAGGCCTACCATCTTCAGATCCTGGCCACAGTTCTCACTGACCTATGCCTCAGTTTCCCCACCTGCAAGTCAGAGGTGGCATCCATTCTTTCCTTCGTGGTGGAGAAGGTAAGACGCGGCTGACACTACATAGCAGGCGTTCAAGCCGATCCCAAAGCCGATCACTCGCTCCTGACCCAATGCAACCACGTCTACCCCGAGCTAACCTTGTGCCAGGTGGGCTGAGTGCCAGGCCGTAACATCCAGCTGCTGCGGCAGATTCTGATGTTTGCCCTTCTCGACAGCAGGCAGGTGCACAGACTCCTTTCCAGTTACACCCAGCAGAGAAATGAACAGACCAACCAACTACCAAACACCAAGAGAGGAAGTAGCCCCAGGAGCACAGACAGAAAGGGGGGTCCGTGAGGGCCACTAAGGGAGCAGGGAGGGCAAGGCATTGATGCCCAGATCCCACCCATATATGTCACAGAAGAAAACACTCACAGACAGAGCACCAACAGGGAGCCTGGCACACAGGAGGTCTTCGTCAGAGAACCAAGAGCCCAGCTCCACAGGACATGAGGACCACGGTCCACTTCATAGTACACATAGAAAGACAGGCTTAGACTGTGCAGCCAAGCGCCCCATTCTGGGGTCTCCATCTAGGGGGCCTGCAGTTGGTATAAGCCAATGGGAGATGGGGCAACAACAAGCATCTCAAGATGGCTGGGCTGTCATGTTATCAGCACCCCTCTTGACCGACCCAAACTCTACACAGTCAGGCAGTGCCAAGGACCAAGGCAGTAGTAGAACGTAAACAACCAGGAAATGGGGCCGGCGTTATTGCTTTGCTTAGCGGTTTGTGGAGAACGAAGATGATCAGTCCAAGTTCCATGCAGTGACTTCTCAGACATCATCAGTAGACAGCCATGCACCTACAGGACAAATCCTTTACCCTTGGCCTTGTGTCTCAGCTCTTGAACCACGCTTCTTCCTTCCCTCCAGCTCCTGGCCACTGCCCTGTTACCCAAGAGGGCACTTGGTCCTCCCATCTGTCCCTCAAACTGTCCTTTGCTCAGACTTCCTGTATAAGAGCCCACATCCTATCTGCCAGCAAACGTCCTTCCTGTGTTCATGTACCTCTCCTATCCCAACACAGTATCATCCTTGGCCTATGTTTCTGTGTGTGTGTGTGACAATAACTGAGTTGTGCTGATGCACCTTTAGTAAATGGGAAAGTAAGTCCCAGCGGGGCCATATTCCAAGTGTGACCTGCTGGGTGGAGAGTCAGCATTGTACAAGAAGCTACTGCCGTAAGCTGTGGAAATGAGCCCATGTGAGTGAGCCCTGGTGCGTGCAAAGCCAGCTGTGCATCACCATGTGCTGTGCACTGCTCACAGCCTCCTGCCAAGAGGCTGCCTGTTCCAGAATCCAAAATGTTGGCCTGCGTCCAGCATCCGGGGGGAGAAGTCTGCTGTCCCAGCCAAGTCAGCTGTCCATCAACCTTAGAGAAAGCAAGAGGTGAGCCTCACCTGGATCCCCAAATGTTCACCCCTCTGTCCAGGGCTTTCTTTAGGACCACCTGCTGAAGAAACACCATCTCAGCTCACCCCGGGAACTGAAAATAACCCCAACAAACACAATGCATTCTAGAATATCCACTCAGTGGAAATCTGGGCCATGACTAAAAGCTGCTTCCAGAGACTGCAGAAAGGCAAAGGGAATGTGTGTGACATCCAGCCGAGGGAGGAATCAGCAGGGAAACAAAGGTGTGTGGTCAAGAAACCCCTGGTCACCACCATTCAGGTTCCTGACTCTCCAACAGGAAAAGCCAGAGAAGAAACAGCGGGGAAGCCAGCTGTGGCTATCTGAGTAGACCAGCTTCCTCCCTCCTTCCTTAGCCCTGTTGTCCATTTTTAATTACTAAGTGCCTTCGAAAAGCCATGCAGCATGCTGCCAAACTTCATAGCAGGGCATGGGCTCCGCGTTAGAGTTATCTTCATCACCTTGTGAAGGGAGTCACAGATCCTACCCGCCACAGATGCAGGACCTCATCCAGTCCTCCACAAATGCAGGACCTCATCCAGTCCTCCAAGGTCCATCAAGGCAGCTGGATGTAACCAAGCAGCAGGCAGATGTCGACAAAGACCCCACCCCCGGCTTTTGTTAGTTCCCAGTGCAGCCTAGGCCTCCTCTCCCTCCACGATGATCAGATGTGGGAGAACCAACAGCTGGAGAGCTGTAAACCACCCAAACCAGCACAGCCTTCTCCTCCTGTGTGTCCTGCTGGTGGTAGGTGGATGCTCTCCCTTCAGGGCCAGCCAGACCCCTGGGAGCACATTGACTGTGGACATACCTGCCACTTTGCCTTTGCTAGCAAGTCTGGGTGGCACCCCTGCCTCAGGTCCCCTGAGCTCTACAGGGCTCAGGAGGTGCCCTGACAGCTGCCTTGAAGGGGATGGGGGGTGGGGAGGGGTAGATTCAAGTATGAGAGGGGCCATCCATTCACTTCTCTCCCCAAGAACTGGAATGATTCCAGCACACTCTTCAATGCCAAGAGCCAGGAGCAGGCCTCACTTCCCCCAGCAAGGCAGAACTACTTCCCAAGTTCCTAAGTTCCCCTGAGAAATGTCTCCTGTCCCCCAACCCCTCAACCCCCCATCTCAGCCATCCTGCACACCCGGACCATGCTTTTTCCACCCATCCACCCATGGAGGCAGTCAGGATGATGGGCATAAGTCACTCAAGTAGGAACAAGCTGTGATGTCTACACGTGACCTTGAGCAACCTATGTGACCGTCCTCTGCACATGGGCTTTCTCTTGTCCAAGATAGAGTTCATCACTGGGCTCCGGCGAGACTCATACAAGAACATAGGTTGGCCATGCACAAGACCGTGGACAGTCCTCGGCTGTCCTGCTCTGCTTACCTCCTTCAGAGACTGGGCCTGTGTAGGCAGGTCCCAGCCGGTCCACAGGCCTCAGTTTACTGACTGTGCTCACAGAGACACTCTACCACTGCAGGATGACCACAGGCTTCGAACCCCACACAGGGACTGGGGCCTGAAGCACAGAAGCAGGATCCACCATCCCAAGCACACCAGGCAGAAACGAGGGATTTTTCACTGGGGACAGACACCTGGCTTCACCTCCAGCTGTCACCAACCCCAGGGGTTCTCCTGGTGGCTTTCTGTCCTCTTGTTACCCTGCCCTGACTCCTGAACCAGGCTTCCATATTAGCTAAACAGCACAATCGGCTTCACAACAGGTTCTTCAGCCACAGGACTCCTACAGAAAGAACCTGGCCTTCTCTGCTGAAGTTCGGTAAAATCCTCTCTCTGGCGGCACAGGCTTCGCACCCCATCTCCTACATCAGTTGCACTTGGCTCCACCCCTTCCGTGTCCCATCTGACTCCACAGTGAGTAGCCAAGGTCTCTCCCCCTCAAGATCTTTGCCACACACTGCATGTGCCCCTGACCCAGGTGGGGGAGGGACACAACGCTTCTTCAAGCGCCTCACCTCCTCAGCCTTCTCTGATTGGTCCCTTGGATATCTTTGTCCCCTCCTCAGAGAAGCCTCTTCCAATCTCGGTCCGGGGTCTCCTCCTGTCCCTGTCCAATCTTTAATTACCCATTGGAATAATCAGACAGTTCTCTTCCTGTCCTGCTGCAAAGGGGTTCCTTCCTGGATCTTCACAGTCTCCCCATCCTGCTTGGAGCCCAGGCCCTGCCTGCATCTGTGGAATGAGTGAGTAAATAAACTGTCTCCCGCAGTCAGCATGCCAACTTAGGGGGCCACCCTGCCATCCACACCCAACATACATACACACATATGTGCACATCTGCATAAACACATCTGCACTCACACATGCACACATACACACATTCTCTCTCTCTCTCTCTCTCTCTCTCTCTCTCTCTCTCTCTCTCTCTCTCTCTCTCTCTCTCTTTCTCTCTCTCTCTTTCTCTCTACTCCCTCTGTCTCTCTGTCTCTGTCTGTGTGTGTGTGTGTGTGTGTCAGGTGGAGACATGCTGGCCTGGAGCATGGAGGCCTATCACTGATCTGCTATGAATTAGCCTTTCCCTCGGCAGGCCATGATTCCCCATCTGCCCAGTGAATAGATATATGGGGCAGGGGGCCCTGTGGGCACAGTGCCAGGGCAACGCCCAATCTCCTACTTCGCCTGACAGGAGAGGCACTGCTCTGCAGGAGCTGCAGCCCAGTAGACAGAGCAGAAGTGGAGGCAGGGGGATGGTCCAAAGTGGCACTGGACACAGCAGGGATAAGAGTTCCTGCCTACAAAGACACCAGCTTCCAGGTACCCGTAGTATCTCTTCCCCTATCCCTGCTGTCCCATAACGTGGCCCTATTTGATGCCTCGTGTCTTGGGTGACAGTGCTTGGATCTGAAGGTCTTGCACCTTCTCCCCAGGCCCCTGGGATGGTGTGTTCTCCTCTGTGTGCCCTGATGGGAAGTCAAGTCTGCAAGACACAGAGGTCTCCAACAAAGGGAAGCCATCCGACAGATTGCATCACTACTCGGAAGAGCCTGGTCACGTGAGAACAAAGGGATTCATTGTGTTCACAGTGTTCGATGCTGCAGCGGTTTGCTACAGCAGCGGACATGACTGTCCTAATACACGATAGAGCCACAGTGACCCACACCACCAGAGATGGCTTGCCTCCTGAGCCTGCCATGTTTCAGCCATCACCAATATTAGCCTTCACAACAATGATGCACAGTAGAGACAAATGGGGAAACTGAGGCTCAAAGCAGGGAAGCATCTCCCTGAGCTCACATAGCAGGCATGTGCCATTTCCCTGAGTCCTGTCCCTCCACAGCCTGGATGCTGTACAAGACAATGTTCAGAACATCAAATCAAGCATGGCGTGGTGATTAGCTTTACGGCAATTTGACACCAGCTGGAGTCATTGGAGAGGAGGGAGCCTCGGTTGAGAAAATGCCTCCATGAGAGTGGGTTATAAGTAAGTCTGTAGGACATTTTCCTAATTAGTGATTGATGGGGGAGGGCCCAGCCCATTGTGGGTGAGTCAGGACTCTATAAAAAAGCAAGCTGAGCCAGACGGCAGTGGCACACATCTTTAATCCCAGCACTCAGGAAGCAGAGCCAGGTGGATCTCTGTGAGTTCGAGGCCAGCCTGGTCTACAGGGTGAGATCCAGGACAGGCACCAGAATTACATGGAGAAATCCTGTCTTAAAAAAGGAAGAAGGAAGGAAGGAAGGAAGGAAGGAAGGAAGGAAGGAAGGAAGGAAGGAAGGAAGAAAGAAAGAAAGAAAGAAAGAAAGAAAGAAAGAAAGAAAGAAAGAAAGAACGAAAGAAAGAAAGAAAGAAAGAAAGAAAGAAAGTAGGCTGAACAAGCCATGGGGAGCAAGTCAGTAAGCAGCACCCCTTCATGGCCTCTGCATCAGCTCCTGCCTCCAGGTTCCTGTCCTGGCTTCCTTCAATAATGAACTACGATGTGGAAGTGTAAGCCAAACAAACCCTTTCCTCCCCAACTTGCTTTGGTCTTGGTGTTTCATCCTGGCAATAGTAACCCTGACTTGACACTTGAGTATTTCATGGAGTGGAGCTTCAGGTTCTCACAAGAACATTATGATAAAAAAAAAAAAAAAAAAAAAAAAAAAAAAAAAAAAAAAAAAAAAAAAAAAAAAACTGGAGATGGCATTGGCTTTCTTGCTGTCCCCCAGCTAATGTGGTGAACCAGGTCCTCCAGGGCTACCCACAGTCTTTCAACGCAGGCACCAACATACCACTAACAGTCAGTTACCAAGCACCTACCCACTGTACCCACTCACATGCCACCAAAGCCTACAAAATAGGTATAGGGACAGCCGTGACCACAGCCAGGCTCCAAGACCCCTGACAGCCGAAAGACCATCCCAAGTGTGGGCTCAAAGCTCATTGGACTTCAAGATCTGTTCTCTATCAGCACAGGGCTAACGCCACTAGCATGAACCCTCCACACACTGGGAGGAGAAGATGCTGTTTGCCTCTTTCTGCACACCTCCCTTCCAGGATGTCCACAGGGAAGCGTAGGATTGCCCCAATGGAAGGACAGCAGACATTCAAAAGAATGAATGCCATTGAGGGGCTACCGGTTAAACACACTTGCTGAGCAAGTATGAGGATCTGACTTAGAATTCCCAGGACCCATGCAAAAAAAAAAAGAAAAAAAAAAAAAAGAGCATGACCATGACCCCTGAAGCCCAGCACTGTTGGGGACATAGGAAGGATGATCATGATCACTGGGGCCTGGCAGCCTCCAGCCTAGCTCTGGGTACGGTGAGAGACCCTGTCTCAAGAAAATAAGATAGAGAGCAGGACACACACACACACACACACACACACACACACACACACACACACAGCCCTTAGAAGAGACTTTGTCCTCCTTCTAAGCAGTAACGTTGCCTAGGTGAGGCAGGTAGAGATCCAGCCCACTGCCCTCTCTATTTGGGGTGTGCAAATAGCTCTTGTTTGTTCTCCCACGCCGCCTGCTGCAGCTCCGGCTTTTATCCTTGAAGTGCGGCTGATAAGAGAGTCTAGAAAATGCTAATACTGGAGGGACGTCCCTGCAGAGTTATAATGAAAAGCTTTACATAAATTGTGATATTTCACTCATGTCCCAGGTCTGTGAGGGCTTTATTAACTGCAGCCCCCGTCTCTCTGGCAGTGGCTGCCGATCCACATTGCTGACTTCAACGCATCCAATTCATCAAGCATTTATCACGTGCCCACTTGGTGTCCGGCACCGTTCCAGGCAGCAGGAGGCTTCATTCCGTCAATGAATATTTACTGAACTTGCCCTCGGTGCCAGGGAGAGTGGCGGGTACATGAAACAGAGGAGTGAGCAGCAGACCTGGCCTGCTACGGACCAGGACATGGTGCAGAGGAGGAGCAGGATGTCCTGGTGAGGGCTCTACATCTGTGAAGACCCAGGGGGGACCTTACAGCACAGAGGGTCCCTAATTGCATCCTCATGCAGACTTCCCTAATTGTATCTGGTTTTTTTAGGAGAAGGACCCCTGTCCGTCACCTATACATGCACAGACTGGACAGGTATTTTCTACTGTTAGCTCTACCCCACCGTCTACCAATCTAACCTCAGTGGCACCCCCAGAGGGGAGGAATAAGTTGGTCAGTGACCCTTTGGGTGTTACAGCAGCATGGAAACCCGAAGAGAGAAGGGAAGGTTCCTGAAGTAGGGAGGGCACCTGTCTAGGGAAAAGGATCTCAAGAAAAGCTCAGGCCGAGGCCCCTGTGATGGGCAGAACCATACCCTGCCCCACCCCCCGCCCCCACCCCCCAGCTCCCATGAGACTGTGAAGAGACAGGGGCTATGAAGAGGCTGTGCAGATTCAAAGAGGGGGTGACATGAGGGCCCCGTCTGAGAGGACCATGATCTCAGAAGAAAGGGAAAGCACAGACGGAAGGCAGGCTGACGAGGGTCCCCCAGATTCCAGCTCTGCCACCACTGATCTTTGAGCACCAGCCTCGGGAGTGTGGGGACCACATTCCCATTGTATGCATGCAGCCCACAGCCCTCACTCTCCTCTGTCCCCAATGGCCTCCAAAATGAAAAAGTGAGACCACATCATAGCAGGGTGTCACACTGTTAGACTCCACATGTTGGGGTGCACAAAAGGTTCAAGTCCTCACGGCCCGGCTGGCCTCTTCTTCAGGGCGCATCTTGTGGACATGGCAGATAAGTCAGGCCAATTCCCAGGGATTTCCACAGATTAGCCACTCATTCGTCCCAAGCTTTTGAGTCTTTCAGCACTACAGAACCAAGACTCTCTCTCTCTCTCTCTCTCTCTTTCCCTCCCCCTCTCTCTCTCTCTTTCTCTGAAACCATCAGATGAGGCCCACTGCAGGGACTGATTTTCATAAAGGTGCTTGCTGTCATGGTCCAGATTAGAGCCCTCAACAACCCGCCTCTCCCCCACCACCACCAGATCCTGAGGGATAAACAAAGCTGTGGGCAGAGGCTGAAAAGTGCAGAGCGACAGCTTTGATGCACAGTTTAAAAACCTTTCCTCCAAATAAGAAAACAGTTGTAAACGTATTTATTTTTACTTTATGTCCATTGGTATTTTGCCTGCATGTATGTCTATGTGAGGGTGTCAGATCTCCTGGAACTGGAGTTACAGACAGTTGTGAGCTGCTATATGTGTGCTGGGAATTGAACTCAGGTTCTCTGGAAGAGCAGTCGGTGTTCTTAACCACTGAGCCATCTCTCCAGCCCAAGACCACACTTTTAAGCTCGCAGAAGCAGCGATGTCCTCTGCTCTTCGAGTCAATCAGCAGGGTCACAAATCCAGGCGACCAGCAATGCTGGATCAACACTCCCAAATTACAAGCTACTGTCTTCCCTCTCAGTCGAGTGTCAATATCAGTAACAGAGAGTATCTTTCTTGGGGGGTGGGGGGCACTGCGTGTGTGTGTGTGTGTGTGTGTGTGTGTGTGTGTGTGTGTGTGTGTGCAGGCATGAGGAGGCCAAAGGTCAACTTGGGCTTTCATTTCTCAGAAACTGTCTAACGTGCTTTTTGAGGCACGGTCTCTCATTGGCTTGGAACTCACTTATTAGGCTGAGCTGGCCGGCCCGTGAGCCCCAGGGATCCCCCCTTGCCTCCATTTCTCCAGCACTGAGATGGCACTCGTGCACCACCACACCCGGTTTATTAATGCAAGCTCTGAGGGTCAAACTCAGGTCGGTCCCCACAACTGCAAAACAAGCGCTTTATCTACTGAGCGCATTCACTGTAGTAGCTTGTTTAAAAGATTCCTTTAAGATAAAGTATTGTCTGCAAACTCGTAAAACTGGGCCATCTCTCTAGAGGAGGGTGTGACATACCCACCTACCTACCCACTTCTGAAAGGCGAAGCCATGACCTGGAGTTCTGTATCTGCCATCCTTTCCCCCAAACTGCTGGAAACTGGATGGAGCAAAGGTCACTACTGCCCATGGCCTACTCCTAAGTACTCCAAGTCTCTGAGCCTGGCACTCAGACGGCATCACACATCACATTGAGTGCTCTTGCTTGCCCACCAAAATTTGCTGGTGAGACCCTATTGCTGAAGACACACACTTAGGACGAGGAGAAATCAAGTCGGTTCCGACCGGGGAGCTTCCTCCCACTGGCTGGCTTTCATCCTATGGGAAGGCGGTAGGATCGGCACACAGGCAGACCCCAAAAGACAGGCAAGAGGGCAGAAGAAAGAAGAACTAGTGACTTCAGAACCCTGAGATCCACTCTGGGCTGCCATCAAGGTGGAGCCGCTCCCTCACACCCTTGCTGGCAGCTTGGTATCGGAGTGAAAATGCCCTCGGTTTGCAAGAACGGTGGCCAGGAAACAGATGTGCCTGGGGGCCTGTTATGACCGGCAGAGACAGGAAGAGCTTGTCAAGGCAAGTGAGCTCAGACACGGTGCAGGTGACTGCTGGAGGAAGCAGGCCCCCAAGTCCCCAAAGCAGGGCATCGGGGCTCTCCAAAGAGTTGCACACTTGCCACACACTTACAGAGACTGGGAACGTTTACCAAAAGATAATGACTTCCCATGGCGGCGGCAGCAGCCAGATGGCAGGAATGGGGGGGTGCTATCACGAGAGTGACCTGGAGTTCTGCTGCCAGCCGTGAGGCTGGCAGGGAAAGGCGGCGAGGAGCCATAGCCCTCTCGTGCTGGGTCTTTATCAACGTGCCTTCTTTTATGTGACTGAGCTTCAAAACTTCAGAGGTTCCAAACAACGTGCGTTTTGCCCAGCAGCCTGTGCGGCAGAGCTGTTACACACCTTCGCTAATAAAGCTCTCAGAACAGCTCCTGGGAGACGCAAGAGCGGCCTCAACTATTACTCCCTCCTCGGATCATGTCTGAGGCCCTGGTCAGGCACCTTCTGTGAATCAGATGGGGCACACAGAGCCTAGGTGCCGGGCACTGGCTTCAGGCTGGGCTACAAAGTGCAGCTACAGAAACTGGGCCCTGTCCATTTGGGAAAGAAAGGCAGGGAATTTGAAGTTCAGTCTCAGCTGTGGGTGGGATCTAGCTGGAACGGCCCCCCCCCACCCACCCATTGAAGATTACACATTCAGCTGAAGGTCGCAGTATACAATATGGTGAATTAACGAGTTGGAATGCACATAAACAGACATTGCTTTCCAATTCTGTTTTCATCTTGTCCTATTAACTAACTGTGGATACAAATGTC